CTATCTCACTGCATTTCAAACATCTTAGGCATAAAAAGGAACAGGTATTTTTCATCAAGTATTGATATGTTGAACTTTAAGTCCCTACAGAATTGTTGTTTGTATTTTAGGGAAGGGTCTACAGGGTGTTCAGGGTCTCACTACTAGATCAGACTCCTAGTGATCCCCCTGTTTACAGCCTCCCAAAAGCTGGGATTACAGGCATGTGCGCCACCACGCCCAGTCTCAATTGCTATCTCAACGTGCCCCAGGGGTGGAGCCTGCAAGGCAGGCCCAGGGATTGAACCCCTTGCCCCTGCCCTAGCTTGCAGGCATAGTTTTGTTATGGAAAGTACCCATTCTGTATTTTCTTTCAGAAGAGTTAAAGTAACTTTGACTTAAGTTTTTACTATCTATTTATTTATTTTGGCAGAACCAGGGATTGAACTCAGGCACTTGCGCTTCCCGCTTATTCTACTGAGCTGTCTCCCCAGCCCCTAGTTTTTACTTTTTAAACCTGTGTGTTCATTTGTAGCTATAATTCTGCCTAGATTTTAACTTTTTGCTTTTTCCATTTATAGTAAAATTGGTATTCATCCCCCCAGTCCAGATACTGTGTCTACCCTATTACAGGTGAAACTCCACTGTTTTCTTTTTGCATTTTACAAGATCTGGTGCTTTTGTCTTTTCTAATGTAGGTTACCACCAACATTGTCCAGAGACTTATATTCCATATTTTAAGAGTCACAATGTTACTACCATTATTCGGCTGAATAAAAGGATGTATGACGCTAAGCGCTTTACGGATGCTGGTTTCGATCACCACGATCTTTTCTTTGCGGATGGCAGCACTCCAACGGAATCCATTGTCAAAGAGTTCCTGGATATTTGTGAGAATGCTGAGGGCGCCATTGCAGTACATTGTAAAGGTATGTTTCCAGGGCTGGCTAGAGGGAGGGAGGTGTGTATGGATATGTGGGCAGAACACTTCATGTCCATTTTGGTTGTACACCAAGATGCACAGAGCTGCCTTTATTTTTTTTAAAGATGCTTTTAAATTCCGATTTGATTTGAAACTGTCTCATTGCTATCTGTTTATCAATAAAACTGTAGAAAAAAAAAAGATGCTTTTAAAACCCTGACTCTATATGAAGTACATAGTGAATTATTTTATTTTATAAGGAACTTTAGAAAGGCTTATTATGTTGAAATGCATTCATGTTTTCACCAAGTATAGTATATGCTATGTGCCTGTCATGTCTGTCTGTTGTTTGGTGAGTTCTGGGATCCTCAGGATATAGAGTAGATCCAGTAGAGCTTGTCTCCTTTGAGGACTATGTCCTAACAAGCTGCCATGTTTTCTGTCTACAGTTATAATAAACCCTTGTACTTACTAAATTTTTTTTCAGGGGTCAGGGAGATAGCTCAGTAGAATAAACGCTTGCCTGGCAAGCACAGGGTCCCGAGTTCAATCCCCAGTACCACAAAAAAAAAAAAAATTTTTTTTGAATGAGTGAATGGCCTTGAAGTAATACATTGTATAGAATCATAGGATTTAACATTTAGCTTTAGATAATAAATGAATAAGGAATATAATTACCAAGAACAGTACAACATTTATGGGGGGGACCCTAACCAACCCTCATCTCCACAATTATACCAGATGGCTGGTTTTCTTTGAAAACTTACTAGGGAGGCAGAGAAACATGAAAGTAGCCTACTCAAAGGTAAAAATCGTTAGCAGAAAATTGTCTCTGAAAAAAGCCAGATGATGGATTTACATACAGAGTTAAAACAGTTTTTTAAAGAAATTCAAAGTAAAAAGAATGTGGAAAAACTCTAGACTATATGAGCAAAATGGAAATACAAATTGTAAATGGTAGAGAAAATAGAAGCAAATCAAAAAGAAATTCTGCAAAGCAAATGTAAAGTTTACTTTAGGAAATCTGATGCAGATTTAAGCAGACAAATCAGTGGTTGTAAAGCACGAGGGCCTGAGTTCAATCCCCAGTTCAGCCAAAAAAACCCCAAAACCCCAAGAAGCTGAACAACCTGTGAACGGGACAACTTTACAAAGTCTCATGAAAACATTGTAATCAAACTGTTCAGACCCAGTGACAAAGGGAGCGTTTGCAAAGCAGCAAGTGAGAAATAACTTATACAGATACACGAAGATTGTCAACAGATTGCCCTTCAGAGGTATTGAGAGACCAGCGGCAGTAAGTTGATATAGGCAAAGTACTAAAGGTAGAGGATGGCTTACATTATTGACCAAGATTAAGCCTGAAAAACTCCCTCAAGAATAAGGGAAAAATAGCCAGATATGGTGGCACACACTTGTAATCCATGACTTTGGGAATCTATATCAGGAGAATCACAAGGTCAAGCCCAACCTGGGTATCTTAGTGAAGTGAGGAAGACATTCACAAATAATCAAAATGCTAAGGCAGTTTTTACTAGTATACCTATAGTAGAAGAAATGCCAGAAGGCATCTTTTGGAGAGATGGGAATGGACATTGGACAGAAACTTGAAGCCGTGTGTTATGGTTGGTTTCTGGATGCCCCCCCCCCCAAAAGCCTCATGCAGTCATGGGGGTCAGGCTCTGCAGAGGTGGCCACATCTACAGTTGTGATTGGTTCATTGTCTAGCATTGGGATTGGGAGTGTGAGTGTTGCATCCACACTAGGGTAGGTAGTCTAAATACAGTGTAAAGGAAGGAAAGAGGCTTGCTTCTCTCTTTTTGTCTGTGTTTTTGCTGTCTTTTGCCACCATGAACTACTGCCCCTGTGCCTTGCCCCTATGCCTCGGAGCCAGCTGATTATGGACTGAAACCTCTACAAACTGAGCTAAATAAACCTTTTTTCCTTTAATGTTGGATGTTGGGTATTTTATCTCAGCAACAAGAGAAAAGTAACTAATATGCCATGTGAAGAAATAAATATCTCTGGCAAAGGAAAATACATGGAAAGTTGTAAAGGCTGATACTGTGCTATGGTATGGTAACCTATGATAATTTGTAAAATATTATCATTATTACAATATAAATATTGTAAAAATCTAAGAACCAAAAAACCTTAGGATTACTTCTTCAAAAAGACAAACAGAAATCATGAACCTTGAACTAGATGAAAGAAAAAAAAGAAAAGCCTCAAATTACTAAAATCAGAAATGATGAGACCTCATCAGTCAGTCTATAGAAATAAAAGGACAATTAGAGAGTATTATGATTTATTGTAGGACAAGTTGTTTCAGCCAAGTAAAATGGACAGATTGCTACAAACACAACATCTACTTATACAAAATCATAATGAAATGGAACATCTATATAAATTAGTGATGTTGAACCTTTTAGAGCTTTTAATAAGAACACACAGCCTGCCGTGGCGTATGCCATAGGTTCACCACCACTGGTATAGGCCCTTAAATGGTAAGGAAACTGAATCAGTAAGGAAAAAACACCCTGACAGAGGAAACTCTCTACTCTAAAGATGGTATGAAAAGGAAAACTTCAAGAGCCGGGGAGATTGCTCAGTGGAATAAGCACTTCCCTGGCAAAATGCAAGGGTGAGTTCAATCCCTGGTTCTGCAAAAAAAAAAAAAAAAAGGAAAACTGCAAAGTCATTAAGCATCAGCAGTCTTAGGGAAAAGCTAATCAGAGCTACAGTGAGTAACATTTTACACCCATCAGGGCAGTGGATTTTGCCAGAACAAAATAAAACAGAAAACAAAGCAGTGCTGGGATGATGCTGAAATATGGAATCCTCGTGTACTGCTGATGGAAATATAAAATGGTGTGGAAAGTCCAGGACAGGTACTCAAAAAATTAAAAATAAAATTATCATGATCCAGCAGTTTCACTCATGCCTGTGTTCCCCTAAAAGAATTAACAGCATCTGGGTATGGTGGTGCACACCTGTAATACCAGTGATAGCGAGGATGAGATAGGAGGACTGCCACAGGTTCAAGGCCAGCCTGGGCTACATACTCAGTTCAAAGCCAGCCTGTACTATCATGTGAGACACTCATCAAAAAGAAAAAAGAGGCCGGGGAGACGGCTCAGTGGAATAAGCCCTTCCCTGGCAAGCGCAAGGGCCTGAGTTCAATCCTCGGTTCCACCAAAAAAAATAAAAAGAAAAAAGAAAAAAAAAAAAAAAAAAAAAGAACTAGCAAGTGGTGTAAACAGATCCTGTACAGTTATATTAGCAGCATTCTTTCCAGTAGTCAGTGGCTGAGATGTCTCAGTTGAGATTCCATCCATGGAGGGATAGAGATGCAAAGTGTGGTACATGTATATAAGGGAATATCATTATCTCCTTTTCTTTTTTGTGCATTTTTTGTGGTTTTATTGAAGCACAAATACACAGGTACACAGGCCATCTACTCATTTCCTTCCCTGCACAGCCTGGCATTGGGATTGGTGACTTGGATGGCTAGCTGGGCCGCTCTTTCCACGATAGCCTTGTGGTTCTTAGAGGAGACATTGTGAGCAGCCTCTGTGCAGTAAGACTTGTTGCACATCAGCAGCCCCTCCAGCTCCTTAACATTGTGCACCAGGAACTTCCGGAAGCCGCTGGGCAGTGTGTGCTTTGTCGTTTTGTTACTTCCGTAACTCATGTTGGGCATCAAGATCTGACCTTGAACCTCCTCTGCACCCTGTTGTTGGTGCCTCTAGGTTTCCGCCACTTGCGCTCAGTTTTGACGTATTGGTCTGACTGGTGCCAGATGGACTTCTTGGTCCTCTTTCGAGAATCTTGGGCTTCACAAGGGATCTGAGGCCACCATGGTGCCAAGTGGGAGTTGGTTGCCACCTCTAGAGGCAGCGCCGAGGAGGATCATGCACTCTGAAAGACAGCTCTGATTTACTACATGGAGGAACCTTGAAGACATGCTTAGTGAAGTTGTCTAATCAGATGAAGACAGGCTTTGTGACTCGCATGAAACATTTAAGTAATCAAGTTCACAGTGAGACGTAGAATATGGGGGACTAAGGAGAGGGGGATTCTTTTTTTTAAGTTAAATGTTTCTGGTATGCAGTATATTGTTGGATCTTCCTTCTGGATCCATTCTGCCAGTATGCTTCTTTCAGTTAGTGGATTAAGACCATTAACATGAATGGTTATTACTGGTATGAATTGACTTACCCTTTTCATGTTCTTTTCCTGTTATGTAGTATCCCCTCCCCCCCATATAATTGTTTGCCTAGCCAGATAGATTCCTTCTATTGGGATTCTGGAGTTGTAGTACTTGTTATCTCTTTCTAGAATATCAGAAAATTTTGGAGTGCTGGCTTGGTTATTCATGAATTTCCTCAGGTGTTTTTTTTTTTTCATGGAAATATTTCTCCATAAATTTTGAAAGATAGCTTTTCAGAATACAGCAATCTCGGTTGAAGATTATTTTCTTTCAGGACTTGGAATACTGTACTACAAGCTCTCCTTGACTTGAGAGTTTGTGCTGAGAAGCCAGCTATGATTCTGATTGGTGTTCCTTTTTAAGTGATTTGTTTCTTCAAGAGCTTTTAACATTCTGTAGATTTTTGACTGATGGTCGATTTATTACACCCAGCTAAACTGAACTGGCAGGTGTGTGAGGCCCACCTGAAGATTGTTGCTAGCAATATTAAAGGTACAAAAGGAGAAGCTACCAGAATGCTGTTAGGGATGCTGTTGGGAGAAGGTATTGGAGGCTGCTAGTTCTCTTAGGCTGCTCTGCTGGTGGACCTTGTCATGCTGGCTTTCCTGATGAACTGTCTTGTCTGTCTGTCTGTCTGTTGTGGTACCGGGGATTGAACTCAGGAATTGTGCTTGCCAAGCAGACACTTATGCTACTAAGCTATCTCCCCAGCTTCCCGATGAACTTTGGAGAAGCTCTGGTCCTCATCTTGAGCATCGCTTTCTGGCTCCAGAGGAGGAGATGGGGCACTGCTC